AGGGCGGGGCGGGCCCCGGGAAGAGGGCTGACCCCGGCCCAGCGGCCCGGCTGAGGCCGAAGACGCGAGTGGTGGCGAGCAGTAGCAGACGTCGGGTGGAGAGGCCAGGCAAGCAGGGCTGGGCCCGAAGCCCGCTGCCGTCCTCAGGGTGCGGAGGACCAGGCGGGCAGCGGTCAGCCAGGCGCGTCCACCAGGCGGTGCCCGCGGGCGCGCCCCCTGCAGCGGGCCGAGGCCTCGTCGGCGCACACCGCTGTGTTTGCTCCCGCACAGGTGTTTGCGTACGACCACTGCTTCTGGTCCATGGACGAGTCCGTCGGAGACAAGTACGCAGGTGAGCGCCGCCCTCGCGCTGTGGCGTGGGAGGGCGGCTGCGTGGGCCCGACGTGGCCACGTCTGCTGGGCTCCCCGCCTTCGCGGCTTGGGTCTGCGGGTGTTCGGACCCCCGCGAGAGTCTCCGGAGGGACACGGTGGGCGAGGCCCAGGCCAGGCTGGGCTCGTGCCGCGGCAGCGCGGAGCAGCGGGGGTCTGGGCGGGCGGCGGGCGGCGGGCGGGCCCGCACCTGTGCCACCGAGGGACCCTGTGGCCCGTAGCGCCATCCTCGCCCCGACTTTACGGGCTCTGGCTCACAGCCGCCGTGCGACGCAGCGCAGCGTCACACTCACTCCGCTTCTGGCCGGGCCGCTTTCACGAAGCTTCGCCGCCGGCCTCTGCCGCCTTCCTTAGCGGCCCTCAAGTGCGCCACACTGCACAGAGCTCAGGCCCACTCGGCCCGGCTGGCCGGGACGACCACGGGTGCCTTTGGCTTGGGCAGAGGTGAGGTGCCCTCGTCCGGCAAATCAGCCAGGGAGGAGGTGCGCTGGGAGGCTCTTGGGGCCCACAAAGCCCCACCCACGAAACAGCGCGTGGCTCATTCGCTGGCAGCTCACGCAGGGTGAGCAACGCCCACCGGCTGTGCCCGCGGCCCGGCGGCACGCAGGTGCAGGTGCTGTGCCCGCTGCCCGAGACGC